CTTGGAAAGCACGTTAAGCCGTCGGTCCTGCGCCTGATCTCTCTCCGGTCGTGTCGGTTTATCATTCCGTCAGATTATGAGAGTGAGGGAATAGAGAGTGCACATGTGCTTGCGCATACACTTGGCACTATAATCCTGTCCTGCGCCGATGGCTAGCCTCCGGCCTCTGCTGAGGCAGGCCGCCTTGGCCGAAATTCTGTCTGGAGGACATTATTATTATAGTACAATTTATTAGTTTTACAAAGCCACTGAAATTGTTAGCTACGTAAAAATATTCTACGTATGGTTAAGTCTATCTTCCTTTGACGGTAAAATTTATAAAAAATCTGTCAATATTATTATACACGTTCAATACATATATCATCTATATAGAAGGCCCTATCAGGCGCTAAGCGCTCGCTGTAAATTTCACATTACGCGAGCAACCCGAGTTCGATCCCTGCTGACACCAATGAAATTGTTAATTGTAATTTTAAATGCAGATTTACCATGTGCTCGGCGGTGAAGGAAAACATCGTGAGGAAACTTGCATATCTCATAAATATGAAAAAATATTTAGAAAAAACATGTGAAGTTCGCCAACACTCTCAGAAATGAGGGGAGGCCTGTCCCCAGCAGTGGGACGTATATATACGCTGTAATTTTTACGATATTTAACTGTTTAACAAAAATAAATATTCAGGGTTTTATTCCAAACAAGAAATAGACATTTTTTATCTTTTGTCCAATTTGATCCTTTTTGTTTGAGATTATAGAACGAAAATCTCTCACAAGGCTAAGCATAGAAACGTATCATTTATAGGCTTAGATATGAACGATATGTTTCTAACAAATATTACGAAAATAAAGCTCATATATTTTTAGCAAAGACTCTCAAAGGTCTTTTCGCGACTGGTTGTCAGGTTGGTAATCATCTAGTTTGGACAAAGGCATATTATATAATAAATAAAAGTGTAAACTAGTAATTCAGAGGCGAAGGGCCTACTATGAACGTCGACCATGATAAAAAAATGTTACAGTAGATATATAGAAAATGTTCTCAGTAATATTGTAACAAATGCAAAATACTTTTTGGCTTATATTAAGAATAAACGTAAAGTAAAGAGTGACATACCATCTGTTATAAAATTCGGGCACAGATTTGCTAAAGACGGTGCCAGTATTACTAATCTTTTTAGGACAATTTTGCTTTGGCGTGTGAAACGGATAATGATATCGTTTTGGTTGATGAAACTATATCTCATAATATTAGGTCAGATATATGTAACTATTGATAAAATAGAAAAGTGTTTAAAAACTTTTGATTCCAGTAAGGAGCAGGAAGTGACGGTAATCATCCAATATTTCTTAAAAACTGTGCTACTAACTTAACAAGACCTTTGCATATAATTTACAATCGATCTCTTGTGGAAGGTTGTTTCCCCAAACTGTGGAAAGGTTCTGTAATTATTCCAATCCATAAAGTGGGCGATAAAAAACCATTTTATGTGTTTAGTTGGTAAGCCTTAATAAATTAAAATAAAATAAAATAAACTTCACAAAATGTGAGTAACCTGAGTTCAATCCTTGCCGGAACCAATGATATTGATATTTGCAGTTTTAAATGCTTATTTACCATTGCTCGGTGAAGGGAAACATCTTTAGCAAACCTGCAGTTATTTATTTATTCATTATCACATTTTTTATAACAAAATAATACAAAGGGCGGACTTAATTCCTTCAGGTATTCTCTACCCGTCAACCCATGGAGTACTGAGAATTTGACCAAGGTGTAGCAGCAATATAGAATTTAAAAAAATATAGTTAACTACGTAATACATTTTGCTAATAAATGCATTTCAAAGATATGTGAAGTCTACTATGCGGAGTAGGGCGGGCTAACCGCTCTATAAACCTCACAGAAATGAAAACAGTCACTCAATTAACTGCTGAAGAAATAAAACGAACATTTTTCTTGCTCAAGAAAAGAAAAGTGAAATAAAAACTGGTGAAAATTTGTTAAGCAAAGACAAAACGTGTTGGTTTTTTAAATACCTTTTCATTTTTTAAAACGTTTTTTTTTCACACTAGGATTTTCTCTTGTATCATGGGGGCAGCTTACATACAAAAATTTCACAAAGTCTAACACCCTTCCATTTATGACCTCCACCATAGATTGCCTCATATGGGTGATATTTGCTACATTTGCCATACTTTGCAGGCAGTTTTGTAACCACAGTTATATTTTATTATCATTGAGTTGTTAAGGTTCTCGAGTAGTAGCCTCACTCCGGTAGACGAAATGGGCGACAGCCCTTAACTAGATGGCGTAACGACCTCGTAACACATGCAGGAAGTCGATGAACGCAGGAGGCTCAGAACCGTGCCTTGTGGCATTCTTTGGGAGAGGTCTGTGTTCAGCAGTGGACTTGTGAAGGGCTGTAATGATGATGATGGTGATAATAATGACTCTATTGTATTTTTTAAAGGTGAGTCATTGTAGTTCAAGGGCTAAATGACGACCTGGTAATACATACAGGAAGTCGATGGAATTAGGTGGCTCAGAACCGTGCTTTGTGGCATTCTTAGGGAGAGGCCTATGTTCAGCAGTGGACTTGTAAAGGGCTGGTATAATAATGATGAGGATGGTGAGGACGATGATTATGATGATGATGGTGATTCCTCGTCAAGAAGATGTTACTAGTTACATCACTTGTTTCAGTTTTCCCCTCATATGCTTAAAATATTATCGCACTGGGTTTCTTGCTGGTTTTTTCCAGGATAGAGGTATTTTCCGAACCAGTGGTAAAAAAAAATAATTTTCAATATGTATTAGGTAAGAATCTATATTGTAAAAGAATATTCTATTCTATTCTATTCTATTCTATTATCTGTCGCTCTCTAGATGATATGGGTTAGTGTCATCCCTTAGACTACATGTCTTGGGGCATGAAATGCCAGAAATTTTCGCGTTAATAAAAAAGATAATGGTAAAATACTGCAAAAGTAGGTAGGTTCTGGTAGATCACGAGAAGTGAAAAAAGGAGCTTGGCTTGACACATTAATTATCAGATAAAAAATTTATATAGTTAAGTTATAGGGTTATTGAAGAAACACCCCCCTCCCAATTTGACTTATAAAGATAAGTTAATATTATAACAATTACTATTGTTGTTATTTAATTGCAAACGTCATTTATTTTAGGTAACATTCAAATTCAAAGTACACTCAGCGAAATAAAAAAGTGCACGCTACTCCAAAGTCCACTCGAGGCAACGAAGTTTTTGTTTTAATTAAACTTAAATCAGCACACTAATAAATATTGCCCCTTCGGTAATACCGCCCTTTGTTATTTTAAAATATTTTCCAATTGTACTAAACCGGCGTTGAAATGTATTTGTTTCTGTATACAATACGGGCCCGGTGTTTATTGACTTTATTAGCAGAAACTTATTCAGCTACCAAAAGAAATATGGGAATGGTATTAGTGTTTTTTTTGTAGGTATAAGGATAAAGTATTTGTTTTGTTACTGCGGACATTGTGTTGACCAACACATGCGGTCAGCTCGAGATTTTTATCTGATAATTAAGTACGTTTTATAAATCTTTTCTATTCGAGTTTTGAAATTTTAAATAATATAAAAGTAATCAAAATATATATTAAGAATATGTAAAACTTAGAGGTTACACCTGCAAAGACTTATTGAAAGACGATATATCGACGGTATATACATTTTTATTATTATTTTCGAAGAATTTAGCTAATACACTCCTATTCCTATGAAACACTTAAATCTGATAAAATTTATCTCTTAGATAAAATATGACAAAAATAAATTGAAAATTACAGTTTTAAGTTAGTTCAATAATCTGTCACTGATACATTCACTCAGGTAACTTATTATTTATTTCAAGTATAACTTTTATCTTACTTTTGATAAATCGGCCTTAAGATAAATTATTTATTAGGAACAGTTAAAGCAATCAATATTATTGAGGATTAATTGCATTCCAATGAACGTTCGAATTCTAGCTTGTTTTCCCTTTTTTCAACAGATTAGAATAGAATAAATTGTATTCAATATAGATTTAAAATAATTCTTATCAAAATCCATTCTTAACTTTTACTACTGCACTGGTTCGGAAGAAAATCTCTGTCCTCTAAAGAAATTTTGTCAAGTTAACTTAGTACAATAAATAATAGGTTGTACAATTTCTTACAAAACTCATTTGAAAAATGGTTTGGAAGAGATCACCTCATTCCCAGGAGTATAATTAAATATTTATTTATTTATAATATATAACCATTTTTAAAAAAGACTGTGTTTATTAAAAAAAGCTTAGAGAAAATAACTAAGAGATCTTGTATATTTTATGGAACTTTATTCTAAATGCATATACATTGCACCACGAATTAGTTTTTGATTCCGTATTAGAGTCGAGTAACCGATACCACTTGCTTTTGCTTGTGTTTGTTCCTGATGTTTACAGAGTATATGTCTCTTTGTATATCCCTTACAGTGCAGTTTGCTACGCAGTACCAGTGCGGTCACGAAGCACTATTTCCAATTAACAAACATGCAAGTATCTTTAAATGAATTATAATATACGTTTTTTTTTATGGGATAGAGTGACAAACAAGCACACAGTCCACCTGATGGTAAGTGGTTGCTGTGGCCCATAGACATCTACATATATCCTCGATTACGAATCAAAATGCAGATGCGTTGTCACCCGTGAGGACTAAGATGGAATGCCTCGTTTCCATTAAAAAGGGTCTCCGGTTCTCTACACTCACCATACGAAATACAGCAGCATTAAGCTACTATTTGACGCTGGTATTCTGTGAGAGCGTGGCTCCTTCCCCGGTCGAGCCAACCCATTCGTGCTACAAATATACTACTAATATAACTGCAGCATGGCTCTACCACGTATAAAACGTAAATGGTAAACCAATAATCAAATGAATTGCCTATTTACGTATAATATTTGTTTATATTCTAAATATGATCAAAACTTACCACATATTGTGAAGAATAAATTCGATACTTTGGCACACATCGTGATGACTTAGGATCGCACTGCACATAGTTCATCGAACACTACTGTTTATAATCACCTCCACATTATGTCACTGACACTGAGTCTCACTTTGCACATCACTGTTAGTTATTTACGACTTTTTTGCCGTGAACTGTACTTAAGAAATAACAATGACTGATTAAAACAATTTAAGATTGCTACGTTGTTTTCATTTTGTCCGGAGCATCTGAAAAGAAAAAAATATAGATCACTATATTGCAAATGTCGATATAGGAAATTAAATTACAAATGAAAATGTATTTTTATGGATTATTAAAAAAATTCAATAATATTAATATCGTATTTTTATTACAGTGTCCATGCTATTTCTCATAACGATTAAGTAACATTGCGTGCACCATGTATAACACGCTTAAATTATTATCATAGCACGCGTGAAAGGAAATTCGACACACGCGGTATGTGAGGCTAACGTTCGCAACTGAATCTCACGCCTAACAAACCTATCATCCTCTACAAAATAATAACAACTTTGACGGCTCTGTGGTACAGTAGCATTGAGTTGCAACACTGAGGGCCGCGGGTTTAAATCCTGCTCATAAAAAGTATTTGTGTGGACTACAGATATTTTTTTCGGGTCTGGATGTTTGTCTCGTGCTACTCATGAATGTAAACTGCCTCAACGATACAGGAGAAAATACTTTGAAAACTTTAAAAAATTATTCAGTATACACTATATGGAGCTTTACAGACAACTCTTTTAGTTATACTATGATAACATTACACACAACAACAAAAAAAAAACCAGTCACCTACGGGTATTATGAATAAGCGACAGTACGAAGAAAACGGTTTTAAAATTCCCACCGTGCTATAACAGACCTGCTACCATAGAGCCTGTTAGACCAGTAGAACCCGTTCAATGAATGACTTGACTTATTGCTAAAATAGCTCAACAATGATCTTAATTAATTCATAAGATAAATACATTTTACAATGTCTTTAAACATTTTATCATTACTAATGAGAAATTGATATAGTCGAGTAAAAAGGATTGTTCCTATGTTTGGATAGAATTAATTCGTCAAAATAGTCTTTAGAAACTAAGCTTTTAATATACTTAAAAAACAGTGAAGATAAGCATTTATGAAGCAAAGTTAAAAAAATTGAAGCAATTTAATATTACATACTTTTATCAATTTGATGTCAGTTTTTATTTTAAGTCAGTGTTAAAGTAATTTATCTATGCCTTATGACGGCTTGCGAATTTTTGCCTGCATTGATGACTGCAGATCAATGTTGATGTTATAATTTATTTCTCTTGTTTTCTCATTTTTTCTTTACTCAGTGGAAAACAAACGTTAATTTTCAAAAGTACGTCAATTAATGCCTTGTGCGGAGTGCGGGTTAGATCCTTTTTACTCAACTACGTCCAATTATGGTTTACTCTCCTGGTTTTCTGTTTTAAATTGTAGAAAACATTTTATAAAAATATATCGATGGATAAGTTTTATATATAACAACAAATTTACGAGTTACAACCAATAATGGAACCAGTATGGACGTTCTTTTCCTTAACAAATATTAACAAGACATAAATCAATTATATTCATAAATCGAATGATTGAATCATTCGATTTATGAATATAATTGATTGACATTGACAATACAAGAGCAAATTAGTCTGCCGGCACCAAATTTTAAATGCTGATTCACTACGTGCTCGTTGGTGAAGTAAAACATCGTGAGGAAGGAGAAGGAACATATCTAGTGATCAAATACAAAATAACAAAACCAGTGATGGTGGACAGTATCTCAGTTACGAGATATCTAATGCTACAACCTCGTCTTCGCCTGCAGAGTGGCGGTGATGTTCCTGCAGTAGAAGAGTAGAGTGTTATGGACCAGTAAAAAGACAGATAAAAAAATAATTTGTAATTATGTATGTTATGCGTTCAACTTCAAGGAATGTACTGAAGTAAAGTTTATTTAATATTCAAACAATCAATAATTTCCAAATCCTACCCTAAACGGCAATCAAGCAATAAAAAATAAATAAAAACAAGTCAGCTTGTTAAGATAAACTGGAATAAAACTTGATCTAGTAGAAGCAAACAAAAAAAGGTTCGTCAAAAAAGGTTTTTTTCTGTGAGAGAAACTGGCGCCGTAAAATTATAACGACATATTAAATTCGTTGATGAAAAAAACGTTACGGTCCACGGTGTTGTAAAATTGACGCATTATTCCCCGGTCCCGCTGGAGTCGTAAATGCGATCGAAAAATAAATAAAAATTTAGTAACTCCCTTTTAATGATTCTTAAAGATGCGAATGTTTTAAGATGTGCTGACTTGATATCTAGTCTACTCGTAAATATATAAAATCAATGAAGGCTTCACGACATTTTTTGTCTTTTTCGAGACATAGAAATGAGGTGAAATATTTTACAAATTATAAGCAACAATTTTTTTTTAGGTAAATGCAAGGATGTTTTTTTTTGTTGTAAATTAGTTAAGAAATGGATAAACCAAACTACACATTTTTAAGGTGGAAAAATTAAAAGAAGATTTAAAATGTGAAAAATATTATGGAGGCATTGTTTTGTGTATTTATATAATACTCTAAGAAACCAAAAAAATTTTACTTACAAACCCAACTTCTCAATTATATGACATTTTCTAACTAAAGACTATAACTTCATCTCAAACCCATCTAGCTAGACCTGGTGATCGGAAGATTATTCCGATCACCAGGTGAAGTGCTCATCCTTAAAAAACTAACACACAGTCTCACAAAAACTCGAAAATGGCTCGACCGACTTTGATGAAATTTTCGTGTGTTAAACTAAAGCCAGCATACTAATAAAAAAAATTGCTAAACTATGTCAAATATCTTACTATGAGTCAATCTATGGGCTCTGCTTTTTTTTTTAGAATAAAGGTGACAAACCGAAAGTCAACTTGATGGTAAGTAGATGATATGGCCCATAGACATCTAAATTTATCTTCAATCAAAAATCAAAATGCAAATGCGTTGTCACCCCCGAGGACTAAGATGGTCTGTGTTATACATTGTACTTTTGATAGGCTATAACGGTAACGGTGTAGTTCTATCTAAGTTATCGTCGAGACACAAACATTCATCAATTACAGTATCTATTTTTTGAATACCGGGTTTCAGTAGAGAGACTTCTCCAGTCTTAACTCTACACTGTTCAATATTTGCAACACGCGAAGTATCATTAAAAGCGATTTGACTGCGACCATATACGTAAATAAGATGAAACGAGTAATATGATGTTATATTTTTAAAAAAAAGCAATCACATTCACGGAACACTAGGTAATAAAACACTTATTTGGTCTAGGTGTCCGTCTTACCTATTACTGCCGCAAAATAACAGTATTTGTAATGTTGTGTTAAGGTCTGAAAGGTATAGAGGGCCAGTCTATTTACAGGCTGTGAGGTATATTGCATCTTAATCCTCTATGACAATGCATCTGTAACCGTTTTTGTTTCAAGATGGCTGCAGATGTCTATGGATGACTTGTAAGTACATTTGTTAAGAAATGTTTTTTTTGTCTTTTTTATAGATTACGGGTGACTAACGAGCACACAGTTCACCGGATGGTAAGTGGATACTGTAGTCCATAGACATTTACCCTCGATTAAGAATCAAAATGCAAATGCGTTGTCATCCCCGAGAACCAAGATGAAACGCCTCGTTTCCAGTAAAAAAGGGTTTCGGGATCTCTACACTCACCATAAAAAAACACAGCAGTTTTAAGCTGCTGTTTTACGCTGGTATTCTGTGAGAGCGCGGTCCTTTCCCGTTTGAGCCGACCCATTTGTGTTACAACCATAATCTAGCTGTAGCGTTACATTTCTCAACAAAAAATAACACGAGGGAATTATTATATATATGTTATATATAGCTTCATTATCAGAATAAGTAGAAATAAAAAGAAAATCAGCTTTACAAAAACATTTTACAAAGAGGTACAATTTTTTAATACGCTATTTAGTTTCAACATAACCAAAAAAAAAGTCGTTATTAAGAAGATCAAAACTTTGTCACGTCATTATTCAAACCTGATTGCTACCAACTGGATTTAACTAATATGAAGTTTTAAGTGGACGCATTTGTTAATTTGAATATAAACGACCACGCCATTAAGTCTAGGTCTTAAATTAAAAAAAAAAAAACGTCTTGTCAGACATCACCTGCATAAATGATCTCATAGTAGACGAGCCCACTCAGTGAGAAGTCATTAAGTATTTCTCAAAAACTTGAATAGAGATTTCTACATACTATCTTTTTAACCCACGCGAAGCCTATTTGGGTGTGGCGTATGGTGTAAGTTAAAAGAAAAATTCTTTAAATATGGAATGATTTTTAATCTCTATATAGAAAAATCAATTGCTGTACGTTTGTCTCGCAAAAATTCGAAAATGGGTGGATCGATTTGGATGATTTTTTTTTTGTTTGTGTTTTAGTGGGTCCCTGGATGATCTGAATTCTAAACGATTCACAATTGGACCGGGTAGGTAGAGCTGTTGTCGAGATCCTGAAATCACCCGTGCAAAGTCGAGGTGGATCGCTAGTCGTCAGATAAAAGATATCCATCAAATTTTTAATAACATGACTAAATATGAACTGTATTTTTTCACTATTTTTTTATTCATACAACTGTAATATTAATTTCTTTATATTGCTTTTTATCAAATTAATTTTTAAACATTTAATCGACTACATTATTAACATTAAAATTGGATTAAATTTCATAATAATAATGACTTAAAATATGATGAAATATTGCAGCAGTTAGAGCATGTAATTGTTATAAATGGGGTGTTTGGAATTGGTAGGTGTTAAGTGGGCAATGGTAATTTAGCCATGGTTAACTATGACACTGGGACGTCAACATCTAGATTAAACATAGAATAAATTAATGTTTTAGAAAGTCTACTATAACTAAATTGCAACCGCCTTCCGAATATATCGCGTAGGCTGTCCATTA